TACATCGGTAACCAAATCGTGAGGGACAATAAATTCGATTACAGATTCGAGAAGAAGGTCAACCTTGTTCACGGGACTAATCGCCTTGCACTTCTCAGCGTTTCAGTTGGACTACAGGTAAAAATGGAAAAAAAAAAACATATATAGCTTATTAACTAAGTGTATGATGATATCCAAAATTAAGTGACTGTAAAATTGTGGTCTTAATTGTGTTTTAGAATTATGGACCTTTCTTTGAGAGCGGTCCAACTGGAATCAATGGTCCTGTGAAATTAGTGGGATACAAAGGAGAGGAAACAATCGAGAAAGATCTATCAAAGCATCAATGGGACTACAAGATTGGTTTGCATGGATTCAACCACAAACTTTTCAGCATAAAATCCGCTGGTCGTCACCAACTTAAATGGTCAACCGATAAGCTACCAGCTGATCGGATGTTGTCATGGTACAAGGTCAGTGTCAACTAAAAATGTTTCTCTAAGAAACAATTTGATATGTGCAAATAAGAAAGCTTCTTCTTACAAAAAAAAATGTTGCTTTTCAGGCAAATTTCGAAGCTCCTCTTGGTAAAGATCCAGTGATTGTCGACTTGAATGGTCTTGGTAAAGGAGAGGTTTGGATCAATGGTCAGAGCATTGGACGCTACTGGCCAAGCTTTAACTCTAGTGACGACGGTTGCACCGATGAATGTGACTACCGTGGGGAGTATGGTAGTGACAAGTGCGCTTTTATGTGCGGCAAACCAACTCAAAGATGGTAAATCTAAAATGATAATAACTAAACTGTTCCTTTATTCTTTTCGTTTGATATGCATTCGTTACAACTTTTACCAAACTTTTGTCTCATAATAAAAAAATTGGTTCAGTTCACTGTAAATAATAATAATTTATTGAAAATTTAACAGATTTTAATGGTCAAATTCTTATAGGTACCATGTTCCACGATCGTTCTTGAATGACAAAGGACACAACACTATCACACTATTCGAAGAAATGGGTGGTGACCCATCAAATGTGAAGTTCAAGACGGTTGTAACTGGAACAGTTTGTGCCAAGGCTCATGAGCACAACGAAGTGGAGTTATCTTGTGATAACAGACCAATCTCAGCCGTCAAATTCGCGAGCTTTGGAAATCCGTCTGGCCGTTGTGGTTCATTTGCGGCTGGTACGTGCGAAGGAGCCAATGATGCTGCGAAGATCGTAGCTAAAGAGTGTGTTGGAAAACTCAACTGCACAATGAATGTGTCTTCCCACAAGTTTGGATCTACTTTGGACTGTGGCGATGCACCTAAAAGATTGTTTGTGGAAGTTGAGTGCTAGATTAGATCTTTATCTCTAGGCTCTAGCTAGTGGTTGCAATAATTCTCTTAAATAATTTAGATAGCTCTTCTAGTTTAAATAATGTTTCTTGTTTTTTTTTGATCCATCATATTTTTTAGATGGATCGGATGTAGGGTTGTGGAAATAAATATTAAGATCAAATAAAAAAACATCTTAAATAATTTTCCTTGGTTGAGTTGTTTATTTATGTGATTTTCCTTGGTATATATGAATATTGTTTGGCCTAGTGTAATATATTTTGAGATTAATTAGATCAATAAAGGGTTTTTAGTGATTTAAACCTCCAACTATTTTTAAATCGGATAAAAAATTTCCAACTAAAATTTTATGTTTTTAAACCTCCAATTATTAAACTGTTAATGTCGTTAACCTTCCGTTATCAAAATCGTTTTTTCTTCGAAAATCGGTTAAATCGAAACACCGCATTTCATGTAATTTCAAAAACGGCAAGAGATTCTTATCAGCAATATATATTTTAGTGATTTAAACCTCTAACTATTTTTAAATCGGATAGAAAACCCCTAACATAAAATTTTATATTTTTAAACCCTCAACTATTAAACCTTTAATATTTTTAACCCTCTGTAAACAAAGTCATATTTTCTGAACGGGTAACTGTTAAATTGAAACACAAAGTTTCATGTAATCATATAAACGACATAAAATGTTTAAATCCCCTATATCAATGAGCAATGATAATCACAAATCATTCTCAAATAAAAAAATGAATAGGAGAGAAAGAATTAGGGTTGATTGCGTACTGTCACGATAGATGGGCTTCCAAACTAAAACCAATTGATGATAAGTGGAGTGGCCCATCTATCTTATATACTAGATAGAATCCCTTGAAACTTTCGATGTGGGACATTTGTCTCTAATACGCCCCCTCGAGTTGATGGCTCTTTGGCGTCAATCTTGAAATGTTCGGACAAATATCGATGGGTCGAATTTGGGCTGGATTGATAAGGATCGGGTTGTACTTTGTGGGTCATGGAATGTGATACCATGTTAAGGTAGATGAGTTTCTAATCTAAAACCAATTAGTAATAGGGGGTTTAAACATTTCATGTTGTTTATATGATTACATGAAACTCTGTGTTTCAATTTAACGGTTTCTCATTCAGAAAATATGATTTTATTTACAGAGGGTTAAAAGCATTAAAAATTTAATAGTTGAGAGTTTAAAAATAGAAAATTTTATGTTGGGGGTTTTCTGTCCGATAAATAGTTGGAGGTTTTAATCACTGAAATATATATTGATGATAAGAACCTTATGTCGTTTTTGAAGTTACATGAAACGCGATGTTTCGATTTAACGGATCTCCGTTAAGAAAAAACGATTTTGATAACGGAAGGTTAACGACATTAACAGTTTAATAGTTGGAGGTTTAAAAACATAAAATTTTAGTTGGAGGTTTTTCATCCGATTTAAAAATAGTTGGAGATTTTAATCACTGAAAATGATTATATTATTGAGTAACATAATGGTTTTTAACGTAAATAAAATGATGTTGTTTTTTTAAAATTGATGTTGTTTTGGTCTATAATCTCGCTTTAAATTGTTTTGAATACTTTTAAGAAATAAACTTAAACAAAAAAACATTAAAATGATTGAGATTTAAAGGAAAACAATCCAAAATGATTAATCGAGAATTTTCAGTAAGTGGGCTAAAGGATTAGGTGTTGTTCAAAAAAAAAGGATTAGGTAAGGACCCGGTCTGACCCGACCCGGATATTACACCCGGTAGAGAGTTGTAGATGGAGTTCTTCCTGCAATAAAAAGGGAGAGCAAGTCTGGTGTGTCCGTTTCTAGTCTATCTTCTCTTGTGCAACTTTTAGGGTTTTATCCTCCAAACTCACAGTCCTCCGCTTTCTTCTCTTATCCTCAAGGTATGAATCGTTTCCCTTTACTCTCTTCACTCTCTTTAATTCAAAACGAGAATTGGAAATAAAGGTTGGAACTTTAGGCGGAGAAACTAATTGGGTTCGGTCAAAAGTAGTTGGGTTTTGCGGAAATGTGGTGAAAATATCCATTTTCTTACTAACAGAGAGTTTTTTTGTGTGTTTGAAGGACTGCAGAAATGGCGGCGATGCAACTTACAGCGTCACCAGTGACTGTTTCAGCTAGGAGCTTGGCCTCGCTCAGAGGTTCTAGTGCAAAGTTTGGAACTTTGAAACCAGGCACCCTTAAGCAGACCCAGTTCCGTTCTTTGGTTGTCAGAGCTGCCTCTGTTGTTGCTCCCAAGGTACTACTTGTTCAATTCTTTGTTTTTTTAATTCATCCTTGTTTCTTAGTTGGTCTGAATGGGCATGTTTGATTGAATATGTGGAACTTATCTGAATGTTTGTATAGCGCTGATTAAACATTTGTAACTTAATGACGCCTTGTGAGATATTTAGATATGTTTCTTCTTATTTAGTTATGACTTCTGTTTGGTTTTTTCTTGTCCTAATTACAGTATACTTCGATTAAGCCATTGGGAGATAGAGTTTTGGTGAAGATCAAGGAGGCAGAGGAGAAGACAATGGGAGGTATCTTACTTCCATCCACAGCTCAATCAAAACCTCAAGGAGGTGAAGTCGTTGCTGTGGGTGAAGGAAGAACTTTTGGGAAGACCAAAATCGATATCGATGTCCCGGTAACTGCCTCTCAGACTCTGTTTCTTTCTTTGCTGCTTTGTCTGCTAATAAGTTTATCTAAAATTCCTTTTTTTTTATTGGTGTAGACTGGAGCACAAATTATTTACTCCAAATACGCAGGAACTGAGGTGGATTTCAACGATGTGAAGCATCTCATTCTCAAGGAAGATGATATTGTTGGCCTTCTTGAGACGGAGGACATCAAAGATCTCAAGCCCTTGAATGACCGAGTCTTCATTAAGGTTCGCTTAGTGTGCCTATTTTAATCATCATGTTGTTTGTTTACGCAAGAAGAGTGATAACAAGAGGAAGTTTTGTTTTGATATTTACGAGTTTAGGTTGCTGAGGCAGAGGAGAAAACAGCTGGAGGGTTGTTGCTAACTGAGACTACCAAAGAGAAGCCTTCTATTGGCACGGTAAGCACACACTTCATATCATGTCCGTCTTGATAGCTTGATGTGTTCATTAACCCATAAATAATCTCCTCTGTGTTTCGTGGCAGGTGATAGCCGTTGGACCAGGTTCTCTAGATGAGGAAGGTAAGCGTCAGCCACTATCCATATCGACTGGAAGCACAGTGCTCTACTCCAAGTATGCTGGTAATGACTTCAAGGGCAAAGATGGTTCCAACTACATCGCCCTGAGAGCTTCGGATGTGATGGCTATCCTTTCTTAGTTTATATCTTTGTAACCTGCAATTTGTATCCCAATTTGTGGAATTTTTTCTTAAACGGCTTCAGGATTATCTGAAATAAAGACTTTTGAGTTTGAAAATATGGTTCTTATTTGGCTTCCTTTCTCTTACTATTAACTTGTACAAGCGGTTTACGTTAACCAGTTCGTAGAATCATTGCCACCCATCAAAATAAAATCTTCGTGTAAACTTAGTTGAAGATGTATTGTACAGGTAAATGCTCTACAGTGCCCAGTAGAAACTTAAAGACATGATATCAAACAGGGGATTATATTACAAAAGGAAGAGAAACGAAAAAAAAATTGTTTGAGAGAGATGTTCTGCCTTCACCGGTTAAACGAGTTGGCCGAGTTATCATCATAATGACCTCTCCAAGCATTGCCATTGTCACCGCCACTACAAGTTTGATTAGTAGCTGGTAAACCTGCAAAGTTCCCGTCTAAGCTCATCTGTTGAACCTCAGCTGATGAAAGGATCTTTATGCTCTGAACACAGTTTACAAATTCCCTGCAATAATCAAAGATTTTAAAGGTATGACAATGCAGCATTCAAACGGTCTAATGCGAATGTGATAGTTTTCTACTTACTCCCACGGATCATCACCAACAAGAAGAATGTCGTTTTCATGATCTACATAGACAAGTTTCCAGTCTGATGTTAGTGGATCTTCAAGCTGTCCTTCGATCCCAAACATCCGTGCTAGATCATGCCTCAGCTCATCATAACCTCTGTAACGGTTGACGTCAATTGATCTCCCTACTGAACCTCGCTTTTGCACCTGTAAGAACATGTACAACATTGTCAAAACCAAAAACCGTTAACCAAATTTCCACAAAGAACGAACCAAGCACGACCGAACCTTTGTATAAGTTCGCATCCTTTGAGTCTGAGTTGGCCATAATCCGCCACCAAGAACTCCAGCATCGTTTACAGCTAGATCGTTTGAAATGGCAGGTACATTAGGGATACCAAAAGATTGGGTTCTTACAGCTGAAGTAGACATCTCTGTACCAATGTCATTGGTTACTCCTCCATAGTTTGAAAGCATGTTCTGGAGATCTTTCTGGGAGTCGTATCCCCTCGAGAGCAACGTATCAGGTACAAAGCCATTCTCCACATTGGCTCCGCCAAACAAGCTGTTTCTGGAATCACCGTCCAGGCCAAAGTTTGGAGACAAGAAATTCTGTTGTCTGTTGTTTTCACCGCCATCTAAACCGTAAGAAGTTCCAGAGGCAGACGCTTCTAGTTGATGATCTGTTAAACTAGCTTTAGGCTTTTGCTGACTAACGAGTTCATGTTTTAGCCGCATGTCGGATTTGCTGTAAAGATCCTGGACAAGACTACCAGACACATCAACAGCTGCATCAGGTATCAAGATCGCTGGCCCACTTTGGCTTCTGTTGAGGAAGTTTGAAGAAGAGATCTGACAGTTGTTGGTGGAAGGCGAGGTTGAAGAGGAAGGTGCATCTCCTCCATCTGTGATGCCTGAATAAGCTTTGGCCCCTCTTCCAACAGGTGCATTTTGTTTGTCCTGAGGCCGGCTCACCAGCATTTGAGGTGGTTGCAATGTCGGTAAGACAGTGTTAGTGCAGGAAGACGGAAACTGCTGACCTCGAGAAGGAGAAGGTAGCTGTTGCAACTGCTGGCTTTGTAGCTGTTGGTGGAGTAATTGAGACTGCAAACTCGAGCTTCCTGGCGAAAGAAATTGCTGCTGCTGTTGTTGCTGCTGTTGTAACCTCTGCAACAGCTGAAACTGTAAATGCGGTTGTTCCAAGAGACTCTGCTGGAATATTTGTTGAGCCTGTGACTGTTGAGTTTTCTGCTGCACGAGTGTTTGCTGATTGTGTCCCTGGACAAGACCAGGAGGCTGCTGCTGTTCCATTTGTCGTGAAAATTGCGTGTCTTGCGGTGGTGTGGACATCAGATTAGATGAAGACTTGCTGGCTTCAATTACACTACTCTGGCTAGTGCCAGCTGCTATATGGCGATGTGTGTGTTGAAGCTGCGTAGACTGTTGTTGCTGTTGAAAGCTTTGATTAAGAGAACTAGACGGAGGCGCGATGACACTACTTGCTATTGATCCCGAAACTACTTGGGGTTGCAAATGATGCATAGATGCTTGCTGTGTCTGATGCTGCTGCACTGCTGGTTGACCATTATAAAGCTGATTCTGCGGAAGCTGAAATTGCTGCAACTTATGTGGCTGTGACTGTTGTGCCTGTGACTGTGGCTGTGGGTGCGTATGAGATTGCAGTTGCTGCGCTCTTAACTGCTGCTGCTGTTGTTGTAGCTGCTGCTGCTGATGAGTCTGCTGCTGATGAGTCTGCTGCTGCAGCTGCTGAGTCTGTTGTGGTTGTTGATGATGTTGCTGCAGCGATTGTTGTTGTTGTTGTTGCTGCTGCTGCTGCAGCAGTGATTGTTGTTGGTGCTGCAGTGATTGTGGTTGTTGTTGCTGCTGAAGCGATTGTGGTTGTTGAGGATGTGACTGTTGTTGCTGATGGTTCAATGAGGAGTGCAACAATTGCTGCAGCTGCTGTTGTTGAGCCAATGTAGTTGGCGGCTGAGGTAACTGAGACATTGCCGCTTGCGGATTCGTTTTGTTAAACTGAAGGTTTGATGAGGAAATCCCCCCTTGAGGCGTCTGAAAGCTCAGTAACTTGGAGGGATCATCAGCGCCGCCAAGACTGTTGTGCAGAGCCGCAGTTGGAGAGAGCATTGACGGGAAGAAACCAGGTTGTGCAGCAGCAGAAGGTACCTGGCCGTTCTGTTGCTGCATACTCATCCACTGAACTAAACTCAAACCAGGAAATATAGTACTGGAAGGGTCCTTCATCTCTAAGCCATTGTCAAGCCACGGCATTGCTCTCTTTAACGCAGACTCCATGTCAGTCCCATCATCTGCAAGAACCACCAGAACTTCCGTTTCTAAGGAGATTCAAAGATGATGTGCAAAATGAAATAGTACAAAGATTTTACCTGGCATTCCGGGTTGCCCAGCAAACCGAGGTCGAAAAAATGGAGGAGGACATATGTAGAAAGGAGTTAAAACTGGTTCAATGTCCCAAACTGAAACTCGACTGGGCCTATCACCAGCAGCTGACTCATCCCATCCAATCTTTAGCAAAAATATAAAGACAGCGAAGATGAATGGTGCGATGAATAAAAAAAAAAAAACAAATGTGGCATTCATCATGACTTTAGCTTCAAACTACCTGAAGATTCCGCCACTGAGAGTTCTTCCATCTCACTGGATCAAGATCACTGATACCAGTAACTGTACCCATATACCTACGAACTCCACATTCTTCTGTCTCAAATATCATCCTAAACCGCATACCGAGTGAAACCTGAGCGTACATAGCTTTGGTATACTTGGCTAAAGGAACCACAAACTCAGCGGGAGCAGCCCTGTAAGTTGTATTCTTTCAGCAGTTGCCCATGAACAAGTATTTAGTAAAGGTTAATGGAGACAAAAGGAAACGTGAATCAGCTACCTCGGGTTGTAGAAAATGGTGAAAGGACTGTTATTAGCATTAGCATGAGCTGCAGCAGCAAGAACTCCAATGTGCATGCTATCACTAGATATTACAGATGAAGAAAGCGCAGGTTGTTGTCTATTTGCACGTCTTATACCCAACAGAAGTTGTCCCTTTCCATCTCTTAATTGTAAGTGAAAAAGAGTTAGCATCTTCACAATATAAATACCGAAATAGCATTGGCACATAGAGATTGATATACCTTACAAAAAGAACAGAGTCCCCAGCAAAGAGCCTTTTATTGCTGACAAATACACTCCACCCTGTGGTTAGCAGGTGCCTTTTTGGTTGACCTGATAAATATCAACAAATCCAAAAAACATAAGAAATGTTATCACAGAATCCAAACTGCTTAAGGTAATCTATCAAAAACAAGGTAAAAACCTCGAAAAATATGTCTGAAAGTCCATGTGTTATCGTGAATGTCCTTAGCAACAAGCTCTTGACAAGGTGGTTGCATCGAGAAATCCTAACAGAATATTGCTACCAATGTAAGAAGCTAAGTGAATAAAGAGATCATAATATTTAGGAAGTGCAGAGCAGGGAAGATTTTATAAGTATTTAATAAGCTATAGGTATTGTATATACACCAGAGCAGGGAAGATTTTCTCAGCTGCTCGTCGTGGTACAGAGAATCCACCATGAGTGCTTGTGTCACTCGCCGTGAGGGTTTTGCAGAAAAATTCATTAGGTTGTCTGTTTAACTTAAGACCCATGTCAGAGGCAAGCAATGCATCTCTGTCATACTGTTCAACAAAAAAATCACAACAATTAGTGCTTAATCCTTAAACACAATTAGACCGGAGTTATCAAAAGGAACCTACTTTGTTTACTGGCTGAAGAGTCATCTGCGCATAGACCTCCTCAGTCTCAGGATCAGCCTAGTTTAAAAATCGATAATTAGCAAAATACATTAGCAACTTAAAAGAAAACTTATGCTAAGGGATCAGGCCATTGTTGGTAACATACATTCAATGTAACATTCTGAAGCATGCAAATGAGCTTAGAAGGAAGGTTAGGGTAGCTTGGTATGAAATCAGTCTGCTTCTGCATTGAAGCCGCGACCTAATAGAAAACAAAAAAACAATATATTTAGACTCAGAGAATCATTCTTGATCATCAATGAATGATTATAAAATAAGCTTTCTCGAATAACATACTTGCTCACTGTGACCTTGAGGGAAGTAAACAACAAGACTTCCCGCTGGAGGCAACGATATCAGTGGACCAGCACAAGCGTGCCATAACTCTGAATTTATATTTCTCATTTCTCCTGCATTCATTCACACAACATCAAAGATGTGTTTACTTCAAATCTATCTGATCTTCCTTGAGTTACTACTATCATAACAACAAGACGAGATAGCTGCTCTAAACCCCTCAAACTAGAAAGCACGGTTCTTGGATCCCATCTTCATACAGACACATGCTGCTTATATCAAATACTATTAACTTACTTCTAAAGCAGAAAACGAGTGGAAATAAACTACCATATCTAGCAACTCTGAAGAAGTGTGACCTCTACTTACAACTTGAATCTAATACAAAAGCAAGCAGTGCGTTTCTACTTATAACAAACCTTCCTCAGGATTCGAAACTCCATTTGATGAAGGAGCTTTCATGATTAATTGAGCTTTGTACTCCTGAGTCCTTGACCCAATAATAAAAATCTGAATCTGATCTTAATACAAAGCTGAGACCTTTCCCTTAAAGCTTCATCTTCATCACAGACATAAAAGCCCTCAACTTTCTTTCCACCACAGGAAGAAAGTAAAAAAATCGTTTCTTTTAATGACTAATCTGAAATGTTGACTCAAAGATCTCTGCTTTGTACTTCCGACAGAGCCACCAGTTTCTCGGAATCTCAGAGAGAGATCAAAAAAAAAAAGCAAGACTTTTTTTTCTCACACGCGGAATCTCCGGAGAGAGACCAATAATAAAGTCACTAAGACCAAAAAGACAAAAGGAAGAAAGATTCCGTTTTTATCAGAGAAGCTATTCAACTCAAAAAAGAAGAAGATCGAGGAGCAGGGGGGGGAGATTAGGACAGAGAGCTCGCACGGGAGAAGAGAAAGAACAACAGAGTTGTTGTCGGAAAGAGATGATGATGATGATCTGAGACCAGGACAACTACTACCCAAAAGGTCTGCAAAAGCTACCAGGTCTAGCTTTTTCTTCTTTTCTTTGCCTTTTTTTCTCTCTTAATTTTCGGGATATTTATTTATTTTATTATTTATTCAATAATGCTTAACTAGCCGACATATTTACTAGACTGGCCACTGTTCAACTTCTTAATACTATTATTTGTACTTTTAAATAAAAAACTTTATTTGGAAAAAACAAGAAAACTAAAATTTGATTATTATTATTGGTTCTGGTAAGTGAAACTTTTCATTTTCAATAAGATTTGTTAATGGTATACAGTTTATTGTAACAATTGCATAGCGTTTGAGAAGATATAAGAAAGAAATGAATTTGACTACTTGTATTATGAGTCAGACTGCTGCATCTATAATGTTTTTGAAGATATGGAAAGATATAGAGCATGTTGACAAAAAAAAGGAAAGATGTAGAGCAACACCATTTATGATGTTTTTGAAGATGACGTCCTGGTTATCAGCCTTCGCATTCAAAGAACGAAAGCACTATGCACAATGTTTTGGTACACACAAGATTACAACTACCATCAATATTGTTATTAGACTAAATTGACGCTGTTGAGATGTAGTATGAAAAATAGTCATTGAGCTAAGCTAAGCCAACTAACAAACATAGTTACCCTTGATAATGTTTGAAAGGGAGTAAACCGGTTGAACCTAACCAGCATTCACTCTTTTTCCCTTTTAAATTAAGGGTTTTGGAGTAACATCTTAGGCATTGATTGGCATAATTTGTAGTATTAGATTTTTTTGCTATAAAGTTTGAGTTGAAATTTTTATAGCTTTAACTTTGGGTTTTATTGCTTTAGATTTATTTCAAAGTTTTTAAACACTAAGTTTTATAGAAAATTTTGATTTTTGAACCAATATATTTAATTTTAAATTTT